TTTTTTTGGTCTTTTTTTGAGACAGGGTCTCCCTGTAGCCCCAGCTGTCCTGGATCTCACTATGTAGATCAGGCTGGCCTTGAACTCACAGAAATCCACCTGCCTCTGCCTCCTGAGTGCTGGGATTAAAGGCGTGTGCCACCACGCCCAGCCAAATGCTATGTAGCCTCTTCAGCATATCTTACTGATGTGTGCCACCATAATCAGTTTTACTTGCATTCTTGATTGTAGACTAATGCATTTTTATGTATATTCAATAAATCATTTAACCAGTTCACTATTGGTAAATTCTTAGTTCATATCTAATAATTTATCATCATAAATACTAATATTTATTCAATATAACCCTCATAACTGAATCTGAGGGAGATAATTTTTACTAATTACCTTTTTTTTTAGTTGCTCACCTAATTTTACCTTTTACTGTATATTTTCAGATACAGACATGAAATTGCTCATGATGGGCAAAGGATTTACATCTTGGGAGGAGGTACTTCCTGGACAGCTTATTCCTTAAACAAGGTACTTTTTTTTTTTAAGAAATGAGAGGGAAAATAGAGGCATGAATTGTATTAAGATGACTGTCTTACTTAAGGTATTTGGATATTTGAGCAGCTTCATCAATACTTGCTTTGTGGATGCTCTGTGTGGTAGAAGGTTGAACGCTGTACTCTACTATGCTTTGTGGTTAACAGTTGCATTTGTCACATGCTGGCAAGTCTTCATGAGAATTACCCCCTGGTGGTGGATGAGGAAAGTGACTAGAAGGAAAGTCTAGTAGCTTGAGCAGGACAAGGATTCTCAGAATGTCACAGCCCCTTGTCAGTGCTGTGCATCTAAAAAGAATAGGCGAGTTGAGGACTGCACGTCACTAACTCAGAAATCTGAGCTCTTTGTGCTGCTAGCCATCCATCCCTGTGGCATTTTGAAAATGTCACAGTTACAAATCCCAAAGGAAGTCTAGATTAGGCTACAGAGCTCTTGGTCTGCCTTGGAATTTTAATGGTCTTTGCAGGTTTTGTCAAAATGACATTCCCATTTCCTTACCAACACTTGCTTTTTTCTTTTATAAAAATGATACACATTCCCTGTGGGAAATGTGGAAGTTGCAGAAGCACAGAGAAGAAAACGGAGTCAGGGTGCTTCTGCTTCCTACTCCAGCTCTTTTCACCATGTATAGACTTTGTTTTCAACTGTGTTTCATGTTTGCCTTACCCTTACACATACCCTTTCAACAAAGAGTATGTGTTTGCCCTGGCTGTTAAAGGTTTGCTTTCCTTTGGGGCTGGAAAGATGGCTCAGTGGTTAAGAGCACTGACTGCTCTTGTAGAGGACCCAGGTTCCATTCCCAGCACCCACATGTGGGCTAACAACTGTTGTAACTCCAGTTCCAAGAGATATCTGATGCCTTCTTCTGATCTCTGCGGGCATTGCACAACACTGGTGCAAGCAATACACTCATACACATAAAAAAAATTTTTTTTTAAGATCTGGTTTCCTGGGCTGGTGAATGGTTCAGTGGTGCTTGCTGCCAAGCCTGCTGTCCTGAGTTTAATCCTGGGACTGACATGGTGGAAGGAGAGAACTCATTCTTGAAAGTTGTCCTCTGATTTCCATACAAGTGCTCTTGTGACTTGCATGTCCTCTCCCCATACATAAATAAATAAATGTACTTCAAAAGCAATCTAGTTTCCTATATGGGAAATTGCTGTACTTTTTCCTTTACCTTTTTTTTTTTTTTTTTCTTTTTGAGACAGGGTCTCCTTGTAGCCCCAGCTGTCCTGGAACTTACCATGTAGACCAGGCTGGCCTTGAACTCACAAAGATCCGCCTGCCTCTGCCTCCCAAGTGCTGGGATTAAAGGCCTGCGCCACCATGCCCACCACGCCCGGCTTTCCTTTACCTTTTTTAAAACTGCTGTAAAAAATAGTCCACTTTTAAAAATCTGTTTTCAGGCTGAAATTGCAGTTTTTTTACTTATATATGTTCTTTTTTCTTTCAAGATCCATGCTTACAATCTTGAAACAAATGCATGGGAGGAGATTGCAACAAAACCTCATGAAAAAATAGGTAAATTAAAAGTATTGATTCATTTGTATGTAGCAAATACTGTAGTCTATACCTGTTCTTTCAGGGAGGGTGATTATCTTAAGTGCTATGGAAAATAAAGTGTTTGTAAAACTGGTATTAGAAGTTATTTGTAAAAGAAAAGAAGTTATTTTTACTCTGTATATCAGTTAGTATTTTTCCTTAGCAACTGAGCAGAAAGAATTCTAACAAGTTATTGAATTCTGTGGCATAAGTGGGAAAATACATGTGTGATAAATAGGCTTGTGGGGATGGAGAGATGGCTCAGTGATTAAGAGTACTGATTGTCCTTACAGAAAGCCTGGATTCAAATCCCAGTACCCACATGATGACAAACGTTTGTAACTCCAGTTCCAGGGGATCTGAGACCTTCTGTCCTCCACAGGCATTGTACAATACAGGTGCACTTATATACATGCAGGCAATACACTCAGACACAATAAAAATAGTAAATAAAATAAAAAAATAAATAGGAGCTTAAATCAAATCAACCCTTCTGAGCCACTCGGATCCTCTGTCCTTTCACCCTACTTTGTTTCTCTGATGCCTTATCAAGGAAAGATTAAAAGAATTAGTGTTTTCTATGAATAATGGAATTTCTGTATTTATGTGTTCGACAGGTTTTCCTGCAGCCCGAAGATGTCACAGCTGTGTTCAAATAAAAAATGGTATGAATTCTAAATAATGTTTTGATTCATTTCTGCAATCATATTTGTTGAGAGTAGCAGATTTCCTAATTAGCTCCTTGAAAGAGGTGCATAACTTTGGAAGGGAAATCTAAAGAATTTTGCTTTTCTTAGCAGTTTTCATAATATAAACTAGTTTCGTGTCTGGGTTCTCTCAGTTAAGAGAACTCTAAAAGTTGGTGATAAATAGCTTTTACGGTACACTTGATATTTCAGCATGGTTTGTGGTACTAATAGTAGTGATTGCTTTTACAAGAAGACCTCAGTGGACATGTGTTGAAATTATAATGACTTCTTCAGAATATTATTTCATAGTTTATTCTTTTTTTCTGTCTGATGTCAAATGAAACTCTTGAGTTTGTTCTTTGGCCCTGTACAACCATGGCATCCCATGAAGTCAGAAAGTAGCAGCAGCTACTTAGATATCTAGGTGTGGTAGATGAATCTTCTTTGGGTAATCTTCCTGGCTCTTAATTTACAGTGTGTATTATAGTTTTTATAATTTGGTACACTCTTAATTCTCTCTCTCGTTTTTTTTTTTTCCTTTTCTGGGAGGAAGGGGTAGATAAGTGAGCTTGATGGCCTGTGTCCTTTCAGAGTCTAGATCAAACTTAAGTAGGGTTATTCTGCCATTTCAACTACACAGAAGAACTTTCTATTATTATTATACTTCTGCTTTTTGGATAGGATTTATAGAGTGACATTTTTCAGCTTTGCCTTCTGAGACTAAAACTGTGCTTGAATACTACCCCCCTCCAAAAAAAACCCCAAATCCAGTTTCTGGTATATTTTAGAGTTCAGTTAAGTATTGCCTTAAACTTGATCTAGACTTGAGTTAAGAGATTTATTCATGTGATTCTTTGAGGCCAAGCACCATACATTTGGACTGAGCTTTAGTTCTGGTCATTTAGTTTAGAGGTTCTAGTGGCCTTTATTACAAGTCAGTGAATAAGCCACTATTAACTGACAAAGCTGTACAGAGCAAATGGGAATTTTAGGATATTTTCTGAAGAAAGCCAGAAAAAAACATTTTGAAGAACCCATTTTGTGCCCTAGATTGCATTGTAGTACATGTTTCTCTTTAGGTTAAATGTCACGTGGAGGACATTTATCTCTGGGTAAAAAAAAAAAATGCATGCTTGTTTCAAGATCTTATTCAAAACAAGAATTTGAAGACTGCTGGTCTGTAGCCACGTTTGTTTTTTAATTAGTATTCTTTTAATGAGTGGGCAACACTCAAAATCCAGATTTTCAGCTTGTCTTGGAAACTAAGAAGATCTGGCATGGCCAGTGTGGGTGCCTCCATTGCATCACTCACTGGAGCTGCATTACTGCCCCTTTAGAGCATGAGCTCCCCCTTTTGCTTTCATCAGACTTTATTTCCCAACCCCCCTTGCTCATTCACATTCTGTGCCTAGAACCTAGAATATTTGGGTTTGACAGCCTCTGACATGAAGCCTTCTTAGGGGCTGGCATCCTAGGTCCCAGTGACATGCCCTAGTTCTTATCGAGGGACAGGCCAGCAGCACAAGAGACACAGCTGAAGCCCTCTCTGGTCTGGGGTAATCCACCTAACTGTCAGCTAGCCCTGTGATCTGCAAGACATGTTAGCTGAGGCTCATTTCCTTTGTGTGATACCTGCTTTCTTTTCTCTGACAGATGTGTTTATCTGTGGGGGCTATAATGGAGAAGTGATCCTGGGAGACATCTGGAAGCTGAATCTGCAGACTTTTCAGTGGGTGAAGCTCCCTGCTGCCATGCCAGAGCCAGTTTATTTTCACTGTGCAGCTGTCACACCAGTGAGTCTTTGTTTTCATGTCCCTTTTACATAGTTGTAGATGGTAAGGAAAATTTTTAGAGATACCAGCAAGAAAAAAAGATGCTGATATTGACTAACCTTAGTTGAGAGAATGTTTTTCAACTTCATTTTGAAGCTAACCCACTAAGAAAAGAAGAGGAAAATACCATCGCATCCAGAGTTTCAAAGAGCAACATAAACGTAAAGAAAACAGTGCGTGGCGTGTTAGGCCATGACAGTGAATTCAAAGGTGTTTCCTGGAAGGGCAGAGTAATGTTACCCTCTGAAACCATATTATTGAAAATACTGTAAAAACTTTTTCCTTCTTCTTTGTATTACCAGCATTTGGCACTTTGGATACATAATATACTCTAAATTTAATGTTAATAGAAAGTTGTTTGTAGATAGAATTTTTTTTTAAAAAGGCAAATTAAGAGCACTTACTGCTCTTCCAGAGGCCTTAAGTTTGGTTCTCAGCACCCATGTAGGGCAGCTCACACCTGTAACACTAGCCCCAGGGCATCCAGCTTGTTCTTCTGACCTCTGTGGGTGTGACATACACACTTAGGAGTCAGCTTGTTCTTCTGACCTCTGTAGATGTGGCATATACACTCAGGAGTCTGAGGTAGGAGGGTCACTTGAGTAGAAGAGTTCAAGACCTATCGAGGCAATAAATTGAAACCTTATCTCAAGAACAAACAAAACAGGCTGGGCGTTGTGGTGCATGCCTTTAATCCCAGCACTTGGGAGGCAGAGACAGGTGGGTCTCTGTGAGTTCCAGGCCAGCCAGGGCTACATTAGTGTTAGTGAGACCCTGTCTGAAAGAAAAACCTCATCCAGACTACAGTTTTTTTTCTTTAATAACCCATTCATTATATGTCCTCTTTTTTTTTTTTTTGTTTCTTTTTTCTCTTTTTGGGTCTTTTTGAGACATGGTCTCCTTATAGTCCCAGCTGGCCTGGAACTTACTGTGTAGCCTTGAACTCACAGAGATCTGCCTGCCTCTGCCTCCCAAGTGCTGGGATTAAAGTGTGTGTCACTATGTCCAACAATATAAGTTCTCTTGATTTCTAGGTTAGGTTAGGACCAGTGAGAAAGTCTTCTTGTGTATAAATGGTTCTGGGTATTGAATCCAGGGCCTCACACATAGTATACAGGTGCTGTACCGCTGGTCCACATCTCCAGCATGAGGAATTATTTTGTTTGGTCTCATCTTGACTCAGTCTATTGTGTTCTTTTTTTTTCTTTGCTGAATCTCTGCCTTGATAGCTCTTTCTCCATTTGAATTTGTCTTTTAACTGCCATTTGTTCATAGGCTGGTTGCATGTACATTCATGGAGGAGTGGTGAACATCCACGAAAACAAACGGACTGGGTCATTGTTTAAGATCTGGCTGGTGGTACCTAGCCTGCTGGAACTGGCATGGGAGAAGCTGCTCGCGGCCTTCCCCAACCTAGCAAACCTCTCCCGAACACAGCTTCTGCACCTTGGACTAACACAGGGACTCATCGAGCGCTTGAAATGAGGATTTCTGGACTGTTCATTGATACTGGAAATGTTAATTTAAAGACTCCTTTATTTATGGGCAGTGTAGAGTGTGCTACAAAGAGGATTGGTTACCCTGATCAAGGCCTTATTCAGAAAATACATCAGATGCCTTTCTGTAAATGATTTTAAGTTTATGGACATCTCACTCCCATGTGCTTGCTTCTTTGCTTCTCTCCCTCCTCCCAATAGACCCCACATTCACATACTCCCTTTTTCTTGAGGGGGTTGAGGGAGTATCTGAAAGTACCTTAATAATGTTAGGAATCAAGAGAGAGAAGTTTCTTAAAAGAAATTCTGAACATAATGGCACATCAGCCGATACACCACAAATTAAAGCATCATCGGTAACAAAAATAAAAAACAAAAAGCCAGCAGCAGGAACAGCAGCTAGTAATTTGGGAGATAGATGAGAAGACAAGCTTGAGAGTCTTGCAGGTTGTGCTTAAACCTGGATGTTGAGTTGCTGCTTCTAAGACATGTCTGAGCAGCTGGATTTAGCAGCAGCAGTGGTTGATGTCTTGTGCATAGGTACCTAAACTTGAAGGAAATTAGGCAGCTCAGCAACTTTTGATTATTGAGCTTTCCCCTTCCACCTTGTGGAGCCAGCAGTGTTCTAATTGGCTTGTCAGGATTTAATGTGTATGCCATGGTTGTGTTCTGTTGTTGCCGTCAAGGTTCTTTCTGGGCGGTTTTTTTAATTCCCCTTACTAATGGCTTTAAATATCTCTTTGACTTCTTGGGGAATTGTAGGTCCTAAATATATGGTGTAAATGTCAAGGGACAGGAGAGTAGGGCAGAACACCTGCACCCTTTGGACTTGTTAACCCAGCTTCTGTTTGGGGTGGTGGGCGCTGACTATCATATCAACCTTTTCCTTTTCAGCACTTCTTTCTCATCTCTAGACCATGTTCCTGCCATTTTCTCAGGCAGCTGGTTCTCATTTCCTCCCGAGCTTGTTGTCTCCTTTTCCGTCTGCTTCAGTGTACATAATGCTATAGTTGTCTAGTAATTTAGATAAAAGGTCTTAAGGGAAAAACCACAGGTTATCCTTCCTCAGAAACTGAGTATCATTTGAAAACTAGCAGGAGAAAGGAATTAACAGGATCGTTTGCTTTTTTTTTGGTTAGAGATTTTAGTTCTGGTTGGTTTTGTTAATTTGAAAAAAGAAAAATGACCTATGTTTTCACCTGCTTTGCCATCTGGCTGCTTGAGAAATCGAGTGAGTCCCTTACCTTGAACATTTGGACATCCATAATGTATTCAAGGTGCTGGAGGCAAGTGGGAGGGCAGTGCTGAACCTCCTGCAGTCCCCCTACTAGAGGAGACTCATACAAGAGATTTGGAACACATTTTTACTTAAAGTGCCTCTTTTTCATCTAACTTTTAAAGTTCCTATTCTTTCTTTTAGCCTAGAAGGGATCTCTTAAGCTTGTGTGAATTTAAAGTCACTTTTGTGTTATACCCAAAACGTTAGCGCTTTGTGTTCAGTCCTGGAGAAGAGCCTCTTGATTTTGGACTCCCTGCCTTTAGGCCTTATTATGTTCCATCCATGTTGGGTTACGTTAATGGAGCCTGTGTTCTGCAGTCTTGTAAGAAGCACTTACCTGTGAGTGTGGGTCATTTCTGAGGAGGAAAGGCCCCATTCCCCCAAATCTTGCCATTCCCAATCTGTGTGGCATGTCACCTCTTGCCACCCACTGCTAGGTCTGCTCTTCAGAGGAGCCCTCTCCAGAGCAAGTCAATCTGAGCTGCTTTATGAGTTCAAAACTGTGTGATTCCAGCCAGGTCTCTTAACTGTGGTGAAAATATATCCCAAACTAAATAAGCCATGTTTTCTAGGATGACAGAAGCATTTGTCCTTGGTTTTTATAGGGACCAAAGACTGAATGCTCAGCCTCTATGCTTTGACTTCATGGTCCTTGGAATATAAGCTGTAGAAAGAGGGTTTGATTCAAGCCACACTTGCTAGCATTCTTTCTAAGCCTTTTGAGGGCAGTCTTCTTTGAGGTAGGTGTTGGAGACCTCAGATCAAAGACTTATGTGTCTTACAAGTACATGTCTTTGGCCTAAAGTGACCTCTTTTAATAATAACACTATATGACTAGCTGTGAGTACCGTAGAGCCACTCGTGCACATGTTCTGGATGCCAAATAAGACTGTATATGATGACTTATATGAAGATGACTGGACTTTATAAAAGGGTCACCAGGCATTTTAGTATATCTATAACCAGCACTTAGAATTCCTGATACTATCACCTGGTGGAGAGATTATGATGCCACCTCTGCCTCTTTGTGGTATACCTAGTCATCTTCCTGCAGTCCTGGAAATCAGAGTGCAATATGTAGAAACATGGATAGATACAGACTATGTGGAGGTCTGCCTATAAAGCAGCTACACTACTGCCTTGGAGAAGTCAGCTTACTACTTTAAAGTAAAATTATGCCAAGAATTTTCAATGTGATCATAAGCCAACTCTTGGTAAAGCTGGATTTTCAAGTCCATGTTTTCTTATTCTAGTTCTTACTGTTCTTGGGTTTGTAGTGTTGAGACTTGAGTCTTGTTTGTTCTATCTCCTGTTTGCATGTCTTGCCCAAGAACAGGAAGTCTACCTGAAAGGTGTTGCCTAAGTGGAGAATTAAAACCTAATATTGCTAACAGTTCTCCCATGTATACACTAATTTAATCTGGGAATGTAATACCTTATTAAGTGATGCTTTCTTAATAAAGTATTTTCCTCATCCCAGAAAAACTATAAACCAATATATAATAGATTGAAATTTTAACTATTTTGGGGGGGCCAAGCAAAACCCTTTCCACTGGCAGAAATTTTCTTTCAAGGCCTAATAATTTCACATGAAAATTTGCTCAATACCCTTCATGCCTATCACATAGATTTAAAAGATAAATATAATGAAAATATTAACATTTCTAGGTAAAGGTATAACCGTGACCTTTGGTTACCCAGAGTAGCAAGAGTAAAGCACAGATAATTAAAATCCATAGATAATCAATGTTTCAACTTTTCTGTTAAACAGTTGATTCAGTTACATGTCTTTTCCCTCCCTCTCCCTCTCCCACAAACACCTCCCTTTCAAAGGACAAGTACATAGGAAAGGAAAAGCAGCTCAAAGAGGGGCTAGCAACCAGCACCCACATAAGTGGTCCTAGTTAGCTTTATCCATGTTGACCACTGACATGGGAAACCACAGGTTAGATGTTCCTAAGGTTAGATGTTACCCTCGAGCATGGTCTCCTGCCCTGAGTTCTAGGCTGCCTCCTGAACCAAAGAACTCTGTAGTACCTGTGGGAAGAAAATGCTGTGTATGGCAGAAACAGGAAATCTGATCATTTGAACACATTTCTTTGGCTCATGACAAATCCTTGCTCTTTTGTTTTTCTTTGGAGGTACCTTCTCCAGTCCAGCAGCTTGGTGTATAGGAAGGTTGGACTGTCCTTCTCCAGCTAGGTTGGTCTTTATCTCCAGTAAAAAGCAGTTGGGTTTTATGTGGTTTTACTGAAGCTTAGAAAATGGCCTAGGTTACGAGCTGTCTGCCTGCCAGCGTTCTGATGTAGCACAAAAAGCCATCTCCTTTTTGTTCTCTTTTTCTGGCGTTGAACTCCAGGGTGAATGAGGGTTTATTGTCTTATGATTATGCGTTCCAAGAACTGGTTCCCGTAGATGTAAATTGCGTTGGTTCCCCCAAGTACCTTGGAACTCTAGAAGTGTTGGCAGAGCCTAAGGTAGGCTTGGTATAGAGTTCTGGAACCTCTATGTGTTGCCACCAGGTCATGCCCAATGATAACATTTCCCTTCTAAGGTTGTGAAATTTGGGGGAAAAAAAGAAAAAAAGAAAAAAAAAAGAAAAAAAAAAAGACCTCTCCCCTTGTCTGGTGTTATAAACAGAAGTTCTGAGTTGTGCTTCAAAAGTAGTATCATCTTTGGTGTAATTTTCATGTTGTTAATTTCTTAAAACTTTTGAGAAGTTTTTAAAGGTCCTGCTTATCCTGTACAGGAGGAGTCAGAGGCAGTTTTCATAAAAAAGGCAATCTCAGTCAGTAGTAGGAATTGCTGTTGTGCTAGTCACACGTCAAGAATACAGAGGAGGCAGCAGAAAGCACACTGACTCTCTTTACAGAGTCTGCACAGGGAGTGCTGGCATCTCCCTGAAAGGCACCTGCCAGTGACCAGTCATTGGAAGAACCAGACAAGAAGGGAAAGCCTGTCTCTGGATTGCAGCACTAAGGGTGGCCTTGGCCTTGCTCTTCTGCAGGGTATACTGAGGCCACACACAATGCTCGCCTTACTTTAAAGCTATTTGCCACAGTCCTGTTAAATAGTGTTGAAGTCCTTTTGCAGTCTGGTGTGCATGCCATGTGATCAGGACAGCTTTTCCACCTCCCCTGGTTTCCTACCAGCAAGTAGGAAATGTAGTGATTTTACCCCAAAATGTCCAATCTGTATTTATGTACCTTGTCAGTGTTTTGCTGTTGGTTTTCTAAAACAATCTGATCAATAAATCTTACCTAAATCTACTTGGTTCAAGCCGCCATGATTGTCTGCAGTAATTTGTACGTGCGTGTGTGAGCTCACTGGTTTGACATATGCATCAGTCAGTCCTACCTGCTTCACTGCTCACTCAGTCCCCATCAGAGTGGGCTTTGCTCTGTAATATCTGGGAGTCTTCTACTACTCCCCCACTCCTGCTGTGGCTGCTGTCTGCACACCATCTGGAGCTCCTGGACACAAAATAGCTTTGCCAGTAGAACTTTGCTCCCTCTGCAAGGACATTTGCAAGGGAGCAACTGTGGGACAGATCACACTCCCTTTTACTGTCCCATCCCTTGTACCCCTAAACCACTGCTAGGTAGGTTTGAATGATTGGCTAGACTCTTCCAAAGAGTTGGAGGAGATACAGTGAACTCTAAGGGAAAATGTGAACCCCTACCAACAGAGACATAGGACTTTACAGTTCAAAGACAATGCCACAGTTGGCGCCGAGTCCTGTCCTGGGGTAAAACCATAGTCCATGGGGATAAACCATAATTTTTAGCATTGGCCCTGGTCTTCTAGATGTTTCCCTGTTCTAAACCTCCACTTCATCCTCTAACCTTTCTCCTAGCAACATGTCTCCTTTGTGAAGTCTAGAGTAGGCAAGTTGATACTTCAAGTCACATCATGTTTAAGGCCCCCCCCTTCTGAAATTTCACATATATATGCCTCTTACTTTTTGTGCCTCCATTGGCTTTTTGATCAGATGTACTTTCAAAGGGCAAATATCCTAGATATTACAATGTAAATCTGTAAAGAGGAGAAATGGGCAGTGCCCGCTCATTGTGAAGCAGTTCCGTGCAGGGGACTCGTCCTGCCTCTGGCAAGTTTCTCCCTTCTCTTCTAAAATATACTCCTCTCAGACATACCCAGAACAAAAAGTGGAATCCTGTAACTTTTAGTCTTTTAACCTGCCAGAGCTTTGAAACAGACTATTGTTTGCATCTGACTTGTTTCCTAGACAAGGCTTCTAGCCCCATCTAGGGCCTAGGGGGAGGGGCTCTAGTGCCTCAGTTGGTTCGGGTGGTTTTGTTCTTCCAGTTACATTTAAAACTAGTGTGTCAGGATGTTGTTACAAAGCTATTATAATGACAGCACCATCACATTCTTTTGCAGCTAATCTGGGGCATACCTTCATATAAAAGGCCTGGCACTGCTAAACCTAGATAGAGCCTTCTGCAGATGGAACTGCTCTCTATCTGTACTGTCCACCCAGGTGACAGCCATTAACCATATGTGCTGTCAACAGTGGCTACTGTGGCAGAGGAACTGAAGTTTTAACTTAATTTAAATGGATTTGAATATAGCCACACATGGCTCAAGTCACCTATTGGTAATTTCAGAAAGAGATGTGAGAGGGGACGGGAGCTGTGCTCCTGCCTCTTTGAGTAACACCCCTGCTCTGTGTGCAGCTCACTTTTTCTTGGGCTTTGGTTTACTCATTAGTCAGAAGGGGTGGGCTAGACCATTACTGATGTCCCTTTTAGATCAAACATTCTGTGACTGGGATGTTGACCAAGGACCTGGAGCATCATACATTTAGAGCTCTAGGACTGGACTAGGGTGACCTCTACACCTTGATCTAATACTAAAATTTTTTATCACACTATGATGGCACCTTAGTGGAGTGCCACACTTGGGACAATGCTCACTTGTGTAGTATGAGTAGAAGGTGCTATAGATGGGGCAGGAAGTACAAGACCAGCTTCAGAGCCAACCTGGGACTCACTGGTTTCTAATACATGGTGCAGGGCCCATGAGATGGCTTAGCAGATAAAAGCTTTTTGCCATACAAGTCTAGTCACTTGAATTCATTCTTCAGAGCCCACATAAAGGTGGAAGGAGAGAACCAATTCCTAAGGGTTGTCATTTGATCACTGCATGTGCACTTGCATGCACATACACACTAATAAAATAAAAAAAATTAAAATCAAACCATGATGCATGCTTATTAAAAATACAAATTCCTGGGGCTGGAGAGATGGCTCAGCAGTTATAAGATCACTGACTGCTCTTGTAGAGGACCCGGGTTTGATTTCCAGCACCCATATGGTGGCTAACAACTGTCCATATCTCCAGTTCCAGAGGATCTAACTCCCTCTTCTGAACTCTGGGCATTGCACAACATGGGTGCACTTATACACATACAGACAGGCAAAACACTCATACACATAAAAATAATGAAATACAATAAAAAAATTTTTTTGTCTTTTTTTTGAGACAGGGTCTCTTTGTAGTCCCAGCTGTCCTGGAACTCACTATGTAGACCAGGCTCGCCTCGGACTCACAAAGATCCGCCTGCCTCTGCCTCCCAAGTACTGGGATTAAAGGCATGTGCCACCATGCTCGGCTAATAAAATATTTTTTAAAAATACAAATTCCTGAGGGTTGGAGGAAGCACTGGCTTCCTTTGCAGAGGATCTGGATTCGGTTTCCAACACCCACATGGTGGCTAACTACTGTCCGTAAAACTGCAGTTTCAGGGGATTTGACACCCTCTTCTGGTCATGCATAGGGTGCACTCATACATGCGGTCAAAATACTCATCAAATCATAATAAAAAAATAATACAAATTAATAGGTCCAAATCCCAAAGATTCAGTTCTAGTAGATATGTTATTTTAACAGATTTCAGTTCTGATCTAGCTGGTTTAAGAGATTTGGGACTGCCTGTCCCACAACTGCTTACTACCTTATTTGTTCCTGATGTAATTGTCCAGCCATGAACTCTAGAACGAAGACAGAATTAAAGTTGTTTGTCCTTGCCCTGTTAGCTCCATGTCAGGATGGCAGTCTGACCACATAGTATCTCCTCTGTCTCTTGAGAACCACCAAAAGAATAGTGAAATGGCTTTAGTTTCCATCTCCCTAAAATGGGATTAATAATTCCTCTTAACACCATTGTGTGGCTTCAATGGTTGTGTAAAAGTGCTGAGTGTAAATTATGTAGAATGATGCCTGATACATATTGTTGTATAGGTGTTAGTCATTAGTGCTCTTTACAGCAGACAGAACAAGTAACTACAATATCTAAAGGGAGGCTGGTGATGTGACTAATCTCCCCATCCATAGCAGGAACATAATAGAATGTCTCAAACTGAAACAGTCATCAGGTGAGCATTTTAATTAGGCATGAAAAAGGGAAGTATGCAAAACAAAAGACCATCATCCAAAGTGCTTAATACTGTAGCATGGAGACTACAGTGGAGGCTGGAGATGTAGCTCAGTGGTAGGAAATCTGCCTAGCACGTGGTATGTGAGGCCCTGGGTTGAAGGCTCTTACTTCCTCCAAACTTCTCTGGATACTGTCAGTATGAATCTCATCACTAAATCAGGCTATAGATTCAGGTGAGTCAAAGGTCTGGCTAGTAATTCCCTCGCTGATTCAGAGGGAGAAAACCTATTTACAATCCCAGAGGAATCTAGCCAGTTGGCAGAGGCCCTTATTCATTTACCTGAACTACATACACTCTGAAGAAGCCAAGCTCAGATTATGGATCCAGAGGACAGCATCTGCCCCTTCCATGTGCACCCTGCACTGCCTGCTGCACAGATGGGGGTCCTTAGGAATGATGACCTTGGGAGCTGCTCAGAGCTGCCTGCACACAGCGGTTCAGGACGGCTGGGCAAGCCCTCTACTCCTCCATAGTGGCAGAGCCCAGACTACCATGTCAGTCCAGCATTTTGAGGGTGCATTTTCTCTGCAGACCTATTCCGGACGTGAATTTGGAGGTCTTAGCCCCACTTCACAGATGGATAGGCCAAGGCCAGCCAAAATGTGGTTAGCAAGGAGGTCCCAGCCCCTCCAAAGCCCAGAAGAAGAGTCTTGGCAAGGACTCTCACCCTTGCTGCGTCTTCGGGGCCAGCTCAGGCAGAACTCAGATGTCACTGTCACCAAGAGGGCCCCATTTAAGGGACCTTTCCGAGGAGGGCGGGGCTTGGCGGGAGCAGCACCGTGAAGCACAATGGGCCAGGAAGCCAAGTCAGAGGCCAGTGCCAGCTCCCCAAGTTGCCAACGCCAGTCCCTTGACCCAGCGGTCCTCCCGCTGTCCACACCGCTCGGAGCACAGTGATGGTTTTTGGGCTGCAGCAAGATGGCCTCATGCAGGGCATCGCGGAGAAGCCGCCCCGGGAGGTGTCTGTGTCGCTCCCTGGAGGGCAGCGGGGCAGATGTTGCTTGGCCAAGGCCTTGGCCACTTTGGCCGGCAGTGGTCTGGGCCCACGCTAATTGAGCATCTAGGAAGCTCAGCCCTCTGGGATGCAGCGGCGCTAAGCATGCCTCGGGAAGATGGCCTTACTTCCATCCAGATTCCACCTGGAGAATAGCCAGGTGCTGGGGACATAGAAAGTTAGTGGGAGCCTCAGAATACCAGGTGTGCTGGCCTCAGGGAGCTTGAAAGCCTTTTTCCAGGGACCACACCCACCTGGTACCTTCTGGAAGGGGAGGAAGCCCATGACCGGAGTCTGAAGAAACATGGAAAGTGAGGAAGAGGCGGGACACAGCTCGGGAAGAGCAGATACTAGTTGTCATTCTAGCTCATGGAAGTTGGGACCCTCTTGGTAAACCCGGTGAGGCCACTTTGCGCCAGAGCCCTCGTGGTGCACAGAACAAGGGCTGGCCTTCAGCTCCCATCTCCCC